GAGCAGAGAATGTATCCCCTCCTCTACCATCCAATATGATTCTATATGGACCCATTGGGGGCTACTATTGCCGTCATGTGAGCTTATTGCTTGCCCCAACAGAGTGGCGTGATAATACCGTCGAAGGTCTGGACTCCCCAACCATCCTTCTATGATTTTCCACGTCACGGTTCGTTTAGGGATGCAGGCTCTTTGTTTCCATATGATGAATCTGTCCACTTCCCTTTGTAAGGTTATCAGGTACAGGGGTTGGATTGCTATGGGAAGGGATCAGAACAGGAAATGCAACTTAGGGAGCAACATCATTTTAAAAGCTGCAATGTGATCCATCCAGGATATAAATTTACCTCTCCATCTGGTAATGGTAGAATAGATATCCCCTTCCATGTTTTCCATAGTTTAATTTGAAAAGGCTATGGAGACTATTTGGGATTTTTATCCCCAAGTAGACAAGGAAATCGTCCCTCCAGTCGAATGGGAACTCTTTTTGAAGAGCTTGAATGGTCTCTTCCCCAGCTATTCCAACTTCCTATAAACTCCGATCCAGTACCAGCACTTTATTTAGTCTACCTCAATACAAAAAGAAAACGGCCCGATCCTCCTTCTCCTACAGAGCACCGCAATTGTGGAACGACCTCCCGCACAATTTAAAATCATCACTAAGCCTAAAGTCCTTTAAGAGATCCCTCTCTACATACCTCAAAACAGAATGCACCTGTCATGGTTGATTATATATTTCCTACCTGTTCCATAAATTTTGTATTTATTGTGTATTAATATTGTTTTTGTATTTTATTGTACCCTATGTAACAATGCAATGATTTGTGGACCCAGGACATACTTGAAAACGAGAGAAATCTCAATGTATCTTTCCTGGTAAAATATTTTATAAATAAATAAATAAGTGTATCAGCATGGCTTGTGTTTTGGTCTCCACACAAATAAAATACAGTAACTGAATAAAATACAATAAAATAGTGCTGCTACAATCACCAGTGTTGGTCACCCAAACAACACAAATAAATAGTAAAACAATCGAGTGAATACACAAGGAAAATAAAATACTACCACTTAAAAAAAAAATTAAAGGTAAATGGCAGATGTCAGATGTCTGCAATAAAACATAAAACACAGCTCATAGCGTAATATGTTTACAAACTACTGCAGTATTAAGTATCAATAGGTCAAACTCACATACTGCTGAGCCTATTCCCAGCAGGCTCAGACTTTCAGGCTCATCAGTGTATAACCTCTGAATTGCTGTTTCTTGAATCTGCTGTCTCCCCAAAATTACCAAGTAATTACTAAGCTTGTGTAAATGGAAAAAAATATATACTATTTATTGGGCACACAGTGCAATTAAAAAACAGCAAGAAAAATAAGTATATAAAATAAGCACAATGCGTTTTGACTCTGTAGTGGGTCTTTTTCAAGTGCATGTTGTCAATCAGCTGGTGTCTTCTTCTTATTCCCGGGTTCGGCGTTTTCCTGCTTTGTTTTCAATCTTCTTCAGGGTTCACGCGGTCGGCCGGCGTCATTTCCGGAACTTGACGTGGTTACGTTGCATCAGGCATACTGACGTCACTTCCGGGAATTGGCGACATTCCGTTAAGTCTGACATGCTAGCGTCATGACAATATTAAAGTCCTCCAGTCCTTATAACGTCCATTTTTACTGTTGGTGGAGGGCAGGAGCATTCCCTTAATGGGGAATAATACTTAAAAAGAGACATTTACATACAAATATTATAGTCTCTGAAAGGAAAAGACACATCAGTTCACATATTGCAGTTAAAGGACCACCATAGTGCCAGGAAAACATACTCGTTTTCCTGGCACTATAGTGCCCTGAGGATGCCCCCACCCTCAGGGACCCCCTCCCGCCCGGCTCTGGAAGGGGGAAAGGGGTTACATCTTACCTTTTCCAGCACTGGGTGGAGAGCTCTCCTCCTCTGATCCTCCTCTTCTCCTCCCCGTCGGCTGAATGCGCACGCGCGGCAAGAGCTGCTCGCGCATTCAGCCGGTCGCATAGGAAAGCATTCATAATGCTTTCCTATGGACACTGGCATCCTCTCACTGTGAAAATCACAGTGAGAAGCACGCAAGCGCCTCTAGTGGCTGTCAATGAGACAGACACTAGAGGAAATAGGGGAAGGCTTAACCCATTCATAAACATAGCAGTTTCTCTGAAACTGCTATGTTTATGAAAAAATGGGTTAACCCTAGCTGGACCTGGCACCCAGACCACTTCATTAAGCTGAAGTGGTCTGGGTGCCTAGAGTGGTCCTTTAAAGTTTATCATACTTAAAATCAATACAGGAAATGTGTTAAAATGCAATATCACAAATAAAAGAGGGAATAAAAGAGATACAACGGATTTTGCTTTACAATACCATTTGCTACAAGAATAGATCCTTTTAAAAATCTAAACTAAAAAATGCTAAATGTATATTGTGAGATAAAATTGATATTAATATCTACCACTAAATAGATAAAATTAGTGATAATTAAAAAAAAAAAAAGAGGATCTAAGAAAAAATACAAATATTTATTGGATTTTATAAAATTAGCCACCAAATTTTACCCAAGACCACCTCCATGAAAGTTCAACTGAGGCGGTCAAAGGCCTTCTCTGCATCGAGAGATAAAAGGACTCCTCCAGTTTGTGCTTTGACCATGGAATGTATAATGTTTAATGCTTTCCTCATATTGTCAGTTCCCTGTTTGCCTTTGACAAATCCTGTCTGGTCTGAGTGCAGTAATATGCGGTTAAAAAGAGAGAACTGTTGCGGTTTGCGAGAACTTTTGCAAATAGTTTGGCATCTGAGTTGAGCAGGGAAATGGGCCTAAAGTTTTTGCAGCATGTAGGTGGTTTCCCCGGTTTAGGGAGGGTCACCACTGTGGCTGTCAACATTTCCTGGGGCGATTGATATTGCATTATTAAACAGTCATTGTATGTAGGGATCAAGTGTTGTTTTGAATGATTTATAGTATATGTTCCTAAGCCCACCAGGGCCAGGGGATTTGTTATAGGGCATGCCTTCAATTGCGGAGATAATTTCCTCTATTGTAATAGGGGCAGCCAGTTCTTCCTTTTGGGATAGTGAAAGAGTGGGGGTCTCAATGGGGTCCAGATACCTGGATGATGCAGCAGTGGAGCCGTGCTCAAGGCTTTTGTCATTGGAGAGATTATAAACTTCACCATAAATATGTGGTTAATTCATTGCTAATATCAGAGGGGGCAATCAGTTTGTTCTTTCTACCGGATATGAGAAATGGGATTCTAGTTTGTAACTACAAATGGAGATTACTGTGTGAACCCAATCAAAGTTGAGAAAAACACACAGCGGTCAGTATGGTGGTATCAGATCCACCAAAAAGGGCTTGGACCCAAGAGCACTAAACGTAAAGGTAAAATTGTATGAGAGTATCACCCCAAAGGAGGAGGGAGAGACTATATGCTGGTTTTGAAAAATGAGGGAAAAGTGTTGTATCCCTATGTATTGTCTTGCAAACTACACTCTACACTCGAGCATAACAGGAGAGGGGAGAACAAAGAGTGAGTCGCTCTTAGATAAGCTCATAAATTTAATCAACAGCAGCAAGAACGAGGGAGATGATTGAGATGCATTTGACATAACTACACTCATGCCTACAGTCTTTACACTGTTGGTAGGATCACCTTCTAATGTTTTAAAGAGACAGCTAGCTGTTTAATTCTCCATCATACACCTGGTATATTTAATGCCTCAGATTTTACAGTCTACACTAGTGAGTGTTGTGTAAGTATCATGATCTTCACACATATGTGTGCTAGTTGCCCTGAGAATACTAAATTCAAGGTGATGGGTGCCCTCAAGGGGATATACCGAATGAGACATGACTTATACCCTGGGGTTTCAAAAGAGCCCTAAGCATTAAATAGGTCATCCAATCAAGTCAGTTTACGTTAACCCTTTCTCCTGCGGAGGTAATAGATGTGTATCCCAAAATCAATTTAGAACTTAACATGTGTGTGCCCAAAAATATTTACAGTGTTGCGATATAATTATACCCCCTATATATAGAATTATTTATTTATAGATCACTAATAAAGGGAGAGTAGGAAAATCCCTCATTCAATCCCTTCGGGGATAAAGTATTTAAATGGTAAATCCCAAAACATTCCCTTCTCCTCAGTTTTTTATCCAAGTTTCCTCTCCTTTGATCCAGTTTAACTAGTTCAATGCCTAGAAATTTAAGTACAGTGTGATCTCCATGATGAAAGGTTTTTACATGTCTGGAGATTGGGGTTTCTATGTTCCTGCTAGTTTTGATGGAGTTGATATGTTCCAGGATCCATCTTTTGAACGTCCTGAATGTCTTCCTTACATAAAGCATGTGGCATTGGCATATGATTAAATATACTACCCCTTTAGTATTGCAGTTAAAGAAGGATTTAGGATGGAAAGTCTCTGACTGGGAACTGTTCTTAAAGATTTCCGAATCTTTGCATATATAGTTACATGCTCTTCAACGGCCACATTTATAAGTCTCTACCAGTTTATTAGATAACCAGTGAGATGGACTTGTTTTTGGTTGTTGGAAATGACTATGTACCTAAAAATCCTTGATGTTTTTGCCCCTTCTCACCACAATGCATGCATGTGGTGGGATGACTTCCTTAAGCTGTTCATCCTTTCTAAGGAGTGGCCAATAGCGATTCGTGATGGTTCTAGTTTGTGCCTGTTGATCCCTGAGCTTTGCTGCTAGGACCTTTGCCTGCCCGGTTCCTTTGTGCCTAATGGGACATTTTCAGTTTTTTCACATTAAAGCTGGTGTGTTTTAGATTATATTCAGCGATTTTCGCTCTAATCTGTAGGATTTCATCTCTAGCCTGTTTATTGGGTGTGATTTGATTGGTACTATTTCATTCAGACAGCCACTGGGACCATTCCAGCTTTGGCAATGGGATTGTTTTTTAAGGTAGGACGCCTGTTTAATAAACAAACCTCACCTCACCGCCTTCTGAGCCTGCCATATAGATTCAGTGGAGTTTCCTGGTATGTTGTTGTCTAGGAAATATTGTATGAGGTGGTCATTCAGGGATTTCGCAAAGTCCTGGTTTTGTAGCAGCGACTTATTCAGTCCCAATGTGGGTTTGCCCTTAATGTGAATCTGTCCGCTATTGTAAGACCACCGGTGCATGGTCTGACTAATCAGAACCTCCTATATCGCAGGTTTCTATTTGGGGCAAGTGAGTACCCAGGACTTAGCATCTGTCAATCCTAGTGTAACAGTTATGGATGTGGGAGAAAAAAGTGTATTCCCTGTCAGTTGGGTGTAGTGTCCTCCATGCTTCATATAAATTGTGAGCGTTAAAAAGTGAGCCTAAGTGCTTTGCCCTATTTGACAGCATTTTGTCTCTCAGAGGAGACTTAGAATTGGATGTATTGAGTTTGGGGTCCAAATTGCAGTTAAAGTCGCCGCAGACTATTAAAAAACCTTCCCTTACCCTGTCTAATTTTGCAAGTACCTGTCCCAAGAAATCTTTCTGGTGATCGTTAGGGGAGTAAATGTTGGCTATTGTGAATATTACATCATTGATATTGGCTACTATGATTAAGTATCTCCCCCTTGAGTACGCCAATTTGTTGACAAGGGAGAAAGCCAGTTTGTTGCTGACCAAAATAGAAACACCCTTAGATATGGTGTCAGAAGTTGCGTGATACTGATATGGGAAGTGTTTAATTTGAAACCTACATGGGTCGCTTTTTCTAAAGTGCGTTTCCTGGAGGCAAATTATATCACCCTTCGATTCTTGAATTTCTCTGTACAATGAGTGGTGTTTGAATAAGACGTTCAGCCCTTTAAATTATGTGAGACCAATTTCATGGTTGTATTGTGCAGTTGAGCTATTTATCATAAACCATATACATTTCCTTCTGAAAAACAACATTGCATGGTACCATTCTATCTACAAGGGAGATGGGAAGAGAAATGAAGGAAGGAAGAAAAGATCAGAAAAGGATGCAAGGAAGCACGTAGATAAACTAGTCATCAAGGGACTAGAAGCCCTCTGGCTAACCAGTATGGGATTCGGATGTGCTGACTGGGTCCTCTCAGCGCCCATGGGGAGTATAGAGATCTCCTGCAAATAGTGTGTGCCAATAGAGCCCACTCCGCACAGACGGATCGTCTGTACATTTTCAGAAATAAGTTTTATCACCCGGTGAATGGGTGTCATTTGTAAATTAACCACTACCTAACAGTTGCTAGAAGCTGAAATGAATGCATGAACTCATTGAAAGTAGAAATACAAAAGTTATAACATAGAAAATGGGTAATAACAATTTTTCTATTTGCTGTGGGTTCAACAACAGGATCCCCCTTCTGACACAGTAGATACCACCCATCAGAAATACGGGGGAAACTCTATAATCTCCACTGCCCCTACCTACAAACTCATATTCCCCTCTTCCCCATCCAGCCGAATTATAATCATAGCCTGGGAACCCCTATAGGCCTTTAGGCATGTCACCTGAAAACATTGCACAACAATATATGCTCACACAAAGGACCTTCCAAGGACTGTCACTGTGCGTGTGAATGTGGGAGTTCCACAAGTCCATATGAGCACATGGCCTGGGGAGGGGTTAGTGAACCTCCACAGTCAAGTCGAAGCCTTCTTCCAGAGACTGAATTGATGTAGTCTGACCGTTCCGGATCACCAACAACTTTGCCGGGAAACCCCATCTGTATGGCACTTGCTTGTTGCACAGAGCAACTGTAATAGGGCCCAGACCATGTCTCTGGGCCAGGGTCGCAGGTGATATGTCTGCAAATACTTGGATGGAGGTGTATTCGGTAGGTAGCTCCTTCACAGTCCTGCTGGCTTTCAAGATCATTTCAAGATCATTTCTTTGATGTGATGGTAGTGGGCCCGCAATCGCAGATTATTCCTGCATAAGCGATCTTCCAGATCGGTAAATTTCATGTCTGTTCAGCCTCTTTTCCATCAGTTGCATCGAGTCTGCTATGGAATTATGTGCTACTGTATATTCATCCATCTTGGATTCAAATTGTGCCTCCAAGATCTCCTTCTGTACCTCCTTGATGGAGTATTGGAATTTTGCAATAAATTGTTTAGATTGTGTCTAACATTTTTTGTAGGAGAGCATCCCCTCACTTTTCTATTGCCCGTGTGGGCTGTATTCATGGCTGTCTCCAGAGTCCTGGTCACCATCTTGCAGGCCTTCCTTGGACAGTTGTAGCTTTGACTGTGTTTTGGCCATGAAAATAGAGCATTAATCCCCATGTTTCTTGCCCTTGTGGTGAGACATGGTGTCATGCTTCCGTTAGGAGCAGACAGGTAAGTTTGCACTGTGTGCTTTCTCTGTGTTCGATCCGCCGACACAGAGCTAAGCACTCACTCGGCTGTTCCCGTCGGCATTGGCTCCACCCCCCTTTTATACAAGATTTTATGTAGGTTGTCTCCTCATGGACCTAATCTGCATTTTTGTTTATTGTGAAACTTAAAAATGGACATATAGCCACCCATACAAAATCTAAAGTGTTTAGACACTGTGGTTTGTTTTGCACCTTCTATTTTATTTTTTTATTTTATTTCAATGTTTTTATTTTCCATATTGCAAAGAAAATGGGGGTACAGAAACGAAAATGGGGGAAAAATTTTACACACATAGTGTTGGGTCAAGGCTTTGACAAAATCTATTAACATTGTTAAAGTACTGTTAAATTTTCGAAGTGAGACAGGTCAGCGAGCATCGAGTCTGGGGGTTCATTTATGGCCCTGTATTACCTAGATCGCTGTACCAGTGCTACGTTGTCTGTCCTCTGAAACCTTTAAGAGGGTATGTTAGCCAACTGCCTGATGAGGAGAGTAACTTCAATTTGAGTGTATGAATTAGTATTACATGTGTTCTCTGTTCCATGGACCTGCTCCATGAAGGTCAGACCTACTGTCTCCTCTGTTCTGTAGGTACTATTTACGTTGTGTTTCCCCAGTCTCTCACAATCCTCCACCCCTCCACAAAGTCTCGACCATTAGTAACTGGTGCGGTAGGTGAAACTTAAAGGATAAGGATAGGATGGTGTGGGGGTAGTCCTATAGCTTTTGTCTTACTAGCTTAGCAAATAATTCCGCTCTGTTGGAGCTGATTGTTCTGTTTAATGTCTCCAGTGTTCTAACCAAGGTTCCCATGTTCATAGGTATTCTATATGCTTACCCTCCACTGCCCAGTGTAGGTCCTCCATTTCCCTCATACTTTCTACTCTGGTGAGCCATTGTTCCTTATTTGGGATTTGGGTTTGGCGCCAGTAAACTGGCATTAATGCATTGGCTTCTTCCAGAAGAAGGTGTAGTAATTTTTGGTTGTACTTGTGTGGGATGGAGTTTGTCCAGACCAGCAAAACCTGGGATGGGGTCAGTGTATTTTTCAGAGGGAGTATGCCTTGTATGGTCTGTATGATTTGGTCCCAATATAGCCTATCTGTCTACAGAACCACCATGTATACTCCATGGTCCCCGGTTCCTCCCCACACCTCCAACATCGGTCACTTATCGTGGGCCAAAATCTGTGTAATTGTGTGGGGGCCCGCTTGTAGAACGTCTCTCTCCTAGATACATTGACTGAGCGAGTCATCCCTTTTTCCAGTATAGTCACCCACTCCTCATCCGTCAAATGTATGTGGAGACCCTACATCCACTTCTGCTGGAAGGTCTTTTCATTCTGTTCTGCTGCACCTGTTTGCAACATTTTATAAATTGTGGATAGTGGACATGTGGTGTGCTTATCCGGCCCGCATAGTGTCTCGAAAGGTGTCTCATCTCTAATCTGACCTAGGGGGATTACGTCTCTCTGCAGGAAGTGTTTAAGCTGGGAGAACCTCATGATGTCCAATAATGTGTCTTGTCTGTCCGAACCTTGGGGAACACCACATATGACTGGGAGAGGGAGGGAGTCGCTGTCAGAAATGGATACATATTGTGAGCAATTCGATACATATGATCGAAACCAGGCTAGCAGATGATCAGCAATAGATGAGTTTTTGAGTTTGTGCAGTAGAATGTTGTGGTCTACTGTGTCAAAGGACTTTGCAAAATCAAGGAAAATAGCTCCAGTTAGGTCTCCTTGTTCCATGCCAGTTTGGATGTCATTGCAAACTTTTAAGAGGGCAGTTGTAGTGGAGTGATTCATCCGAAAACACGATTGATCAGGGGCCAGATAGTTTGATTGTTGGTAATACTCACATAGTTGCGTATGGATGCATTTTTCTAAGATTTTTGACAATACTGAGAGCAATGATATTGGCCGATAGTTAGAAACCAAAGTATTGTCACCACTTTTATGGATAGGCACTACTCTTACAGTCTTCAAAAGTTTGGTGTGTATTCACACACCAAAGATTCGTTAATTAGGGTTGCGACAGGTTTAGCAATTGCAGGCACACTGAGTTTCAACAGCATTGCAGGTATTTGATCAGGTTGAGACTGTTTTTTTTTTTTCATTTTTAGATTATTAAGGTGTTTCTTAATGACACTAACAGGTACAGGTGTAAAAATGAACTTGTCTCTATTGGAAATTCAGTGGCGACTGACCCACATGTGTCATTTATTAGCTTGGCAATCTTTATCTTCAGAAGGATATTGATACTTTAGAAAGAGTTCAGAGAAGGGCTACTAACTTATTCATGGATTGCAGGATAAAACTTACAAGAAAAAGGTTAAAGGATCTTAACATGTATAGCTTGGAGGAAAGACGAGACGGGGGATATGATAGAAACATTTAACTACATGAAGGGAATCAACACAGTAAAGGAGGAGACTCTATTTAAAAGAAGAAAAACTACCACAACAAGAGGACATAGTCTTAAATTAGAGGGCAAAGGTTTAAAAATAATATCAGGAAGTATTACTTTACTGAGAGGGTAGTGGATGCATGGAAAAGCCTTACAGCTGAAGTGGTAGAGGTTAACACAGTGAAGGAGTTTAAGCATGCGTGGGATAGGCATAAGGCTATCCGAACTATAAGATAAAGCCAGCGACTAACGAAATTATTTAGAAAATTGGGCAGACTAGATGGGCCGAATGGTTTTTATCTGTCGTCACATTCTATGTTTCTGTGACCATTTATCCCTTCTTATGGCTAACATATTGCCTATTTAGCTTGTCAGAATATCATGTC